CGGGCAGAGAAGGCCAAGGCCCTGCATTCAGAGCGAGCAATGCACTGGCAACCCCAGGCCACACCACAAGTGTCCTTGCAGTCGGGTCCCCTTTCGCAGAGGGCCCTCGAGGGGGAGAGGCTACCCACAGAAGTCAGTAAGACGCCGCTGCCTGTCCCTTGGATGCCTGCTCTATGAGTTAGGTCATTGATTTGATTATTTAAGGTGCATGGGAGAGACTCATGCCATCACTTTCAGGAACGGGGGTGTATTCCACGTAGACCCAGCAAAGCGGTGAGTGACGTCACACCGACTCTTCAGCTACGGGATCAGAGGGGCTCAGTACACGGGCTGCAGGCTCACGATGCCGGGGCCCAGGCGGAAAGCTCTAAGGGCGAACTGTACCAGGGTAGGGGGTCAGGTTGTCCTCCCTTATTCTATTTTTTAATTTTCCCACTTTTTGGTCGAATCCCAGTAGGTGCTCTGGGGCCACAAGTAACAGAAAATCCAACAGAGTGTCTTAAATGAGGTCAGATTAGCTCTTCTGCTACATGACATCTCCCTGATCCTCTGCTGAGCCATCCGTGAACTTGGCTCCATCCTACGCTGCTCCATCTCGTGGCTGTGAAACAGCCACTCGGGCCAGTGAGGGCTGCGGCCGTCCTGACTCACGCTGGGCCTGGAAGGGCGCGTTGCTCCTGCGGTCGCTGAGCCAGTCCTCTCCTTTAGCCAGACTGGGCCCCTCGACATCCCTGGTCTCCTCCTGGACCTGGGGGAATTTCACATCCTGAAGAGCAGGGTCTGAGCTGAACCAGGTGCTGTGAGAGGCCTGAGAGCCGAGCACTGCGGTTGACCAATCAGATCCAGAGCCAAAGATGGATCAGTTCCTCCGGAGCTCCAGGAGGAGGGGTCAGGATTGTTTGGAAGGAGAAAGTGTGCGTGCGGAGGCTAAAGAACCAAGCGTGCCCACTGCACGTTAACAGAGAGCCGGGCTGGCTGTCTGGCAGAACCTCGGGCAACGGCGGAGTGAGGTCTACTCCGCCGTCCGGCATGGTGGCCACCAGTCACCTGGGGCTACTCGGCACTTGAAATGCGGCTGTTGTGACTGAGGAACAGAATGTCTCATTTGATTAAGTTTGAACTAGTTGAAGTTCAAGCAGCCACAGTGGCTGCTGGCCACAGCATTGGGCAGTGCGGGTCTAGGGAGGAACTTCTCCACTGCAAGAGAAGTCAGACCACAGAGAGGAGGGAGGATTTGTGGACGCCAGACAGTGGAGCCCCATCTCAAGGCAGGGGCGGCCACCTGGCATCAGCAGATCATGGCCATGGGGGGAGGCAGCTGCGTTTTCACCCTCTGATGCTGCCTGACACGGCTCCCCAGGGCTGAGTGGTTTAAAATAACAACTATTCCATTTGCTCAGGACCTGCCGTGGGGGCTGAGGCTCAGCCGGGCAGTTCCTCCTGCTGGTCGTGCTGGTGGTTACTTGTGCGTTTCCCTCCAGCTGGCAGGTTGGCTGGGAGGCGAGGGCGCCAGGACCCCCTCTCCATGCCTTTTCAGACCTCCCCCCCAACACCTGGTCTCTCCAGCAAGGTGGCTGGTTCCGGGCTCCCAAGGCACAAATACCAGAGAGGGCAGGGAGGTTCTGGCGGGGGCAGGGAGGTGCTCAGGAATGTAACCGGCAGCCACAAGTCCCAGTGTTACCAGGGCTGGCCTCTTTTTTCAAGAGCAGCAGGGCATCCAAATTTACCTGTGAAACCTCCTGATTTTTAACTATTAGCTCACCTTTTTTGTTTTTTGGTAACGGCTTTATTGAGAAGGAA